GTTTATATTAGAAACTGTTTATGTTAGAAGCAGTAGTGATTTGGAATCATAATTCACATGAATATAAAGGGAAGGAGTTCACATGCTTTCCCAAAAAAGCATGGCACTGGTCTGTCACACTGACTTAGTGGCCTCAGAACACTTGTTCTCCCCAGATTCTATTCCTGATCCATCCATTTTGTTTACGATGCAGCCAAATGCATGCTGCCAGAGAGAAGCATCAAAACATCCCAGGGGGAAGCCTCTCTTCCACCTACAAACCCAAGCAGCTTGTTCTTGGAAAGGGAGGCACTTCAGCTCGCTTTCCCATGTTTCACAATAAACTCCCTGAGTCCAATAAATGAGCTGCCATTGCCTCCAGTTAAGCATTTGGGTTTGCTATGTGGAAGTGAACTGCATTCTCCTTCCTGAGCTGTTCCTCCAAAGTGATCTTGCAAGAAGGGAGGGACCTGAGCTCGGGGCCCACCCCACATGCACCACTCTCACCCACAACTCCCTCTGGGTTCTTGGAAGCAGCCCTGGATTCAAATGAAGGAAATAGTCACTAGTTTGCAAGGAACTCTCAGCGTCTAGAGGACTGTGTAAATAAGAGCAATTAAATCATTAAATGCCACCTACACGATAAGTGCAGTTTATGGTTTCTGAAGCTCTTTCAGCTGAAGCCTAAACCATGGACTGACTGAGCTCAAAACTCACTATACAACTGCACCATCAGAATGTGAGAACTTCCCTCTTCTGCTAGGATGTTAAGTTACTTGCTCCTGAAATCACTGAGGTTATTCGGTTCTGAGATTACTTCATCTCCCCAGTGACAGCCAGGAACTCAGCAATAATTCACCCTCTTGCTCCTGAAATGCTTCTCACTATAGTCAGACCTAATTAGTGTAGCAAAACACAGAGAATTACAATACCACAAGGTGACTGAAATGGCATCCATTATTGATTTGCCATCCATTTCTATAGTGCCACATGAAGCTAATTACATTTGAAATGCTGCTTCTGCCAGAGAAAGAAAACTAAGCTGTGCAATACAGTCTTTGTTTTATCAAGAAAAAACTGTCCTGCTAATTTGGACATTATATGTAGCATATTTTAAAAAGCTCTGCATTTACTATCCTTATCCCATTCTCCTGTGCACAGCTATTTGCCAGTCAAGGGACATTCCAGCAGACTTTCTTCCCTCAAGCAGAAAACTCAACAGTTTTCCAAAGAAGGGTAGTCCAGCATTCACTAAGTTGAATCTGTGCAAGAACGTTCAGAGCAGGACACTTATTCAAGAATGAGTCGACCAAGTTACCTTCACAAATTTGGCAGGGATCTCTGCACAAACTAGTGGAACACTCTGAAACTCCCTGAGCATTGTCCTGTGTTCATATGGTTACATAATTCCCTCACAAGGTGGGCATCCTTGTCATTAGCCAAATGCAGATTTTATATTCATTTGCATTCAGTCTGGAAGACGCCTACAGATTTGGCTCGCATTGCATACCTAAAACACCAATGGAAGTCTGTGACTATTTTATCTAGAATAGCTTATATATGCACAGAAGTGACTATGCAAAAATGCAGAACATTGGCAACGTTTAGCATTTTGCACAGCTAATTATACACTTTGCTTAGTACTCTGAAAAAGTACCTCTCAGATCAGCATTTTTTATACCCTTCATGCATAAGCAAGAGAATACAGGGCAATAGATTGGCATCAGGTTTTAAAATTAGATCCAACTTTCCTTTCTCATATTAGGCCCATGAGAGATTTGAAATAGGGTACTGGTATGTGATTGTTTATTCAGGAAAGCTGGCCCAAGCAAGGGCAAGGGCAGGTTGTTATACAGATAGTGTAAATTATAAAACCATAAAAGCTTAAGTGATTATTATGCTGCAGTCAAGTGAGCATCACTTTCCTTACTTAAATATCACCATCTCCTCATGCTGAAGTTTGTGGTGCCTTAGCTCTGTTGTTTTACTGAAAGATTAAAAATGTAATTAAATCCAGGCGTGTAATATATGCCTGATTTTGGTCTGCTGTATACTGATTTAATACACTTGTGATGCCATTGGTTCCTAAGAGAGCTGCTATAGCTCACCTGAGGCAGGAATCAAATCTTTCGATAGAGAGGAAGATATGCAAATTTTATTATTTATAACTTCATTCTGCAGAGTCAATGAGTTCAAAGTTACATGTTAGGAAGAAACACCACCAAACTTTGGGAAAAAAAACCTGTGGCCAGGGTCATTCTACACTCAATACTTACTTCAACATTTCAGTGAAAAATCACGTGTTGGGAGCTTACTTCAACATTTCAGTGAAAAATCATGTGTTGGGACTGAAAAAAACCAAGCACAAAAAAAGCTTTAAGAAATATATTTAAAAAAAAAATCTCCTAAGCCATTCACAATTTATCCTCTGCAAGAAAGGCTACAAATTAGCTTTCATTTAAATAAAAGTAAAATTCACAGGAGCACAGGAGTTTTTCTAGACTTGTGATAGCACCATGAGACTTCACAACATTGAGACTTCAGAAACATGAAGCCTTGGTATTTAATCCAAGATGTTCTTATGGTTTGAAATTAAAGTCAGGAAAAAACCATTTGTCTCTAGTTAAAAGCATTTCATCAGTCACACAAACTTTCAGTGACTGCACATACTAACTCCACAGGCAAGGTAAAGGTAAGTGCAATAGCTCAACCTCAGTGCTTGATTAACCTTTTTTTTTTCTGTATCTTGCAGTACAACCTCAATTTTCCTCTGAGTCACTGAATGTTCAAACTTCAAGGAATCAGGAAGATCTGACAAACCACAGTTTATCAACATTTCCTCTGTTCCTAATTTCCCTATATTGTAACTCTTTAGCAGAAAAGAGAAGGCAGCAAAAGAACAGCTATACAAATTCATTCCTAGTGTTAGCTTGGTGCCACTGCTTTTGTAGTGAATGGGAATTGCACCTGTCCTCACTAAGACTTCATTGGAAGCACACAATGCTTTTCTGGAAATCAAAAGGATATCAGTGATTTGGGCTGTTTAGTAATCTCTAGCTTTGCAAGGACGAAGATAATTGCCCACCTTGCAGAGTATTTTATTCAAGTTCCTAACTGCTCCCTGAAATCTAGAAAGTCTTTTTCCCTTGATTCTCCAGCTTGTCTACATTAGCAGTCAGCATGGCTTGGTAGAAGTAAATCTTGAGAATGCAAAAGGGACTGCTGAGGACCCAGCATGCACACTGTAAGCATTTCAGGACACAGAGTACTCTGAACTATCCCAGCCTGTCACACATATATTAGATACACACCTGGAGCACAAGGAAACCCCCAAGTGAGGAAACCTGTGCTCTATGCACCACAAGGACCAAAGTGAGGTGAGCAGCAACAGCTGGCAGATTTGCTTTGAAACCATACTCCCAAATCAAATGAAAATGCTACGATAGGTGTTCCTTATGTCTTCACCATTTCTCTAGTACCACTTGTTCGTCACAGCTTCTCACCATTCAGAGCTCAGGGAAAGCCTCACTCCCTCCACACCCTACACACAAATGCTTCATTCCCCTTCCTGATGCTCTCTGATTAGTGATCTCAGTGAATGGTAGTTACTAGGAGGTCAAAATGTATCTTATGTTACATTACATTACATTACAGTATATTACATTGTATTATA